GCGAAAAAGAAATCAAAAGAACTGAGAGAGTAAATATAGTACAGGGGGGGGGGATTGACGGGCGTGCTTTCCTGGTTTGTTATTATTCTCTTTTTATTCAAATCACACGAAAAGGCGTACGTTACCCTAATTAGGTGTCGATGGCCCTGGCTGGTTCGACAAGATCCCCAGAGCACCAACGCGCATGAACTGCGGCAATGCGCCTAACAAATGCGCATAATGTGTGAAGCATTTTGGGTGCGGGTGCACCGCGCGCACCGCTCGTTGGCATCGCACCTTGCGCGAATGCTGATGGACTCGACCCCGCTCGACCTAACAATATTCTCGTTCGGAACCGTAAGTGAGAGGGAGTAAGTGAATGGGCGCGCGTGTGAGAGCGAGTGAATGAGCGAGCGAGCGAGCGCGTCGCCGATGCGGTGGCGCATGTCATGGCACCGCGGTGAGCGCGCGGCCGGCTCTGCTCGGCGCGGCCCCGCGGGCGTGTTTGCGGAGGGTGTTTGCTGACCACGCACAACGCGGACGACGGCCGCCCGGCGCGGCTCGACCTTCACCTCTTTCGGGGTGCGCGGCCGGCGTGCGGCGGCGCCCCGCGGCCCTGGGCGAGCCCGTGGGCGTGGCCCTGGGCGAGGGGAGTGGTGCTCTATGTTCGAGCGGTCCCCGCGCACGAGGATCTGCATCCGACCCCCTGGGGGCATTCTTTTAATCGGAGCAACAACAGCGCGAACGTCATCTCGGCAACCGTAAGCCGCGAGGGCGCCGTGCCGGCCCGGCTGGAGGGGTAGGAGGGTGGGGGGTGGCGCGGGGCCGCGAGGGGGGCTGGCGCGCCCCATGTCTCAACCCAAATCCGGGATAAAGGTCGTGCCGAGGTGCCTGGCATCGGCTCGGCATCGCGTTGTTGCCTATCGCTTCCGCTAACGTCAATAATCTGTGCTGGACCCTACGCACCTGCTACGCACCTACCCCAAGAAAATGTGCCCTTTTAATCAACAGAATTCCTTTGACCATGTCGAAAGATTTTCGTGACTTCTTTTTGTGCTCAAAGTCACAAGGACAATCATATCGTTCGATCAAAGAATCCGCAACGTTATTACAAACATAATTTCGATAATCCAAAATTGCTTTGGACGTGGTTCGAGGTAATAACGTTGATCCAAAGAACACATTCTCTGGCCCTGGGCCTGGGTGTAGGCGTAGGCCTGGGCCCTGGCTGGGGACCCTCCCCCCTCCCCTGTTCTGCTTGGACCCCACTGCCGGTGCCGGTACCCCCGGCGGGACCGATGCCCCACTGCGGGTCGCGCCGGGCAGCGCGAGGCGAGCCTCCTAACCACACAGTTGTTCTGCTGCAGGGCTGCCAGCAGCGCCGCGACACTCGCCGCCAACACCACCACCATGCCGCCCCTCGAAGGCTTCGACAGCAAGGCAGGCTCCTCCACGGCCGCCAAGGTGCCGGAGATCAACAACAATGAGCTCATTGTGGACAAGAAGTCCATCGCCGAGGAGGATGTCGTCGAGGACCTCGGGCAGCGCGTCGTGGAGAAGCCCATCAAGGAGGGTGACGTGATCGAACAGGAGGCGCAGAACCGCGTGAAACGTGGGCGCCAGTTCGTGTGGCACAACATCATCCTCATCACTCTCTTCCACGGCATCGCCATCTGGTCAACGGCCTCCTACATTCAACATCTCTCATGGAAGACGTTCTGGTTTAGTGAGTTCTCGTGCTCGGTTTGAGTATTTAATGTTTTTGTCCTGTCGCGGTGAGCTCTCGCATCAGGGTTGTTCTCACTTCCCGCGTCTCTTTCGCAGGCGTGTTCCTCGGAGGGCTCGGAGGGCTCGGCGTGACGGCGGGCTGTCACCGCCTGTGGTCGCACCGCTCCTACAAGGCCAGGATGCCGCTGCGCGTCGCGCTCGCCCTCTGCTTCTCCATTGCCGGCCAGAACACCATCCTGGAGTGGGTGCGCGACCACCGCGTCCACCACAAGTTTACCGAGACGGATGCCGACCCCCACAACGTGAAGCGCGGCTTCTTCTTCGCGCACGTCGGCTGGCTGATGCAGAGGAAGCACCCTGAAGTGCTGCGTCAGGGCCGCAAGGTGGACATGAGCGATGTGAAGGCTGACCCTGTCGTCCAGTGGCATGAGCGGTGAGTGGCCTCAGGGCGCAACAATTTCTACATAGAAACCGACATGTCAAAAATAAAATTGACACTGCGGCGCAGCTAATATCTGACCCCTGGCACTGTTTCCTTCTTTCGTTTCCAGATACTTCATCCCTCTGAAGATCCTCCTGTGCTTCATCATGCCGACGGTCATCCCTGTATACTGCTGGGGCGAACAGTGGCACTTTTCATTCTACGCTACGGCTGTCGTCCGCTACGTTTGTCTGCTCAACTTCACGTGGCTCGTGAACAGCGCCGCGCACATGTTCGGCACCCATACCTACGACAAGTGAGTTGAAAAACGGCGGCTTCGGCCGTTAGACTGGCAGTCGCCTCGACCAGTCGCACGCACCGCCCCTCGAGGTTCTCGTGCAGCCCGAGTCTTACAGGCGAAAAGATCCAGCAGTACTTGGCCGAATGAATCTGAAAACGCGTGAAAACGGGGTACTTTTCTAGACGATTTCCCTTCTTGGCAGCGGGTTACGGGTTACGAACCCTGTTTCAAATTCAGAATCCCATATCAAAAATCGACATACATCTTTTCATATTACAACCATCACAGTTTCTTGACTTGGTCTCCATACAATTGACTCTGCGGAGGTAAAAATATTTCAACGCAGCAACCGTGTTTTCATAAAATACCCACATTTTATTCCTGGTGCAAATTATTTGCACAGAACCAAAAATGTTGTTTCCGCGACTAACACCTTGCTAGGACAGCGAAAAAAATTGGTTCTTTTGGTAACTTATTCGCTCTTGGAACAAACAAGTTGTTAAAACCTATACCAGGTGGCTGATTCACGCCGCGCACTTCTGTAGTTATGCTGTACCGCAGACACGAGTGCGAGCGGGTTTCCTACTCACTCGGCTCGTAAGGCGCCGTGGACAGGGGCGATAGGCAAGCCCGCCCGCACACGTGCATGCGGTACAGTATACCTACAGAAGTGCACGGCGTGAATCAGCCACCTTGTATTATAAAAACACGTTCGTTGCTGTAATGAAATCTTTTTTCCCGTGCGGTTTTCGAATGATTAATACCACAATTAATTCTCGCTCTTCTGCTCAGGCGCATCAACCCGACCGAGAACCATATCGTCTCCTTCCTGGCCATGGGCGAGGGCTGGCACAACTACCACCACGTGTTCCCCTGGGACTACAAGACGTCCGAGTACAGCTATTACTTCAACTTCACCACAATCATAATCGATTTATGTGCCAAGCTCGGCTTGGCGTACGACATGAAGACAGCCACCCCAGACATGGTTCGCAAGGTGGCGATGAAGCACGGCGATGGCACTCACCCCGTACACCGAAATGACAACGACCACCACCACCCCGAGGAGATCACGTTCGAAGAGTACATCCGAGTCATGAAGGAGGACGACGAGTACACAGGTGTGACCGAGCTTCACAACGAAAATGACGTCACTAGGAAGAGCAAGTAGCGCTCCACCAAGTTCCAAAACACAGCGAAATAGTTACAATGGTGTTAAAGTGACAAAATGTGAACCAATTTTTCAAATTTGCCTATTATTTTAATTTGTCACTATGGAGCCTGCATGATGGTTTTGTGCCACTTCTAAGGCTCGCCGCAGGCACAGAGGTGGCGCAGACATGGTGACCCGTAGGGTAGGAGGCGAGGACCTTTACGATGAGACTGGATGGATACCCTTGTAAAGGTGTTAGCTTCCGGCTCGTGGTTGCGGCCTGTTTTGGACAAACAATGGGGCCTTTTTCGTCCCCCCTACACACTAATCCGCAGTTTTGCTTTGTATTTTCGATTCAGCACAACCAGGCGGGTGCACCTGTGTCTTGTTATGATTTATTCGGTTGTAGATTAGAAAGGTCGACTGCCCCTCTTAGGGCGAGCAGTGCGCGCTTATAGAGCCGAGGGGTGCTGGAAAAGGGGGGAAGGTGGCTGCTTTTTAAAGCACGCCTGTCTGTTTCGGACTGGGGTCAAGCGCACCGTGAGACACAAACATAATTTTATACATTGATGTGATAATTAATATTGTACGGGAGGATTTATTTGACGCGTTGGCTACGGCGTAGCCACTTTCGCCGCTTTCGGAATAGGGAATGTGAAACTACGCCGCAGACAGCGCGATAAAAGAATCACCAAAATGCTACTTCCAGTTTGCTAGCACTAGCACGCTTTGTACAAGTAGGTAGAAGTTGAACGATGCTCATGTTAAGTATACTTACTATTGTAGTGAACTTATTCATATTATTCTAATAAACGAATGTAAGTGTTGTTGTTTTTATAAGAAACTTATTGTATATTTTCAAAACGAAACAAAGATTTATAATTAAAACGTCTAAAAAAATATGAGAAACTGAAGTTTGAGAGCATTTTTATTACCAACCCCGCCCGCCCGACTCCATTCTGTAGAGGGCGGTGAGCACCGAGGCGATCGGGAGCAACAGCGCGCCGACCAGCCCCGCCGCGCCCGAGGGCTCGGCGTCCTCCGTGTAGGTCCAGTCGCCGCAGCGGGGGAAGGAGCGTGGCACGGCGGGCATCTCGCTCTCGTCCCCGATCTGCAGCACGAGCCCCATGCCCAGGTGGATGTGGTTGCTCACGTGGCAGTGGAAGAACCAGAAGCCTGCGATAACAAAAGGTGCCACTCCACACGGTCACGGCGCGCGGATGGTGCGCGGGTCGTGCGTGGCCGCCGCTGGGGCAGCCGCCGCTGGGGCAGCCGCCGCCCCGCGCCACCCGCTGACCACCGCTAAGCGGATGAATAGATTACAGCCGGACAGGCGAGCGGCGCCAGCGCGATGAGAAAGCAGAAGGCACCAGTCGGCGCGGCCGCGGGGGGGAGTGGATCGTACCGGGGTTGTTGGCGCGGAATCGGATGACGGCGTAGCCTTGGCTGGGGACGGTGACGGTGTCCTTGAGCGGCGCCGAGTCCGACAGCCTCTTCTTCATCCCGCCGTTCTCGTTGAGAGCACGCACCAGCTCCATGGACACGTTCCTCCCGAGAGTGCCCTCCGCCACGACGTGGAAGTTGGTGCCGTGGATGTGGTAGGGGTGGTCCTGCTCACGGTCAGTCGCTGCTGACGGAGCAATTCCTCTTATTACCCTGAACTGAACGCCGGCTGTGCCCTGTGGCTGACACGGCTGACTGCTTACATTGGTCCACGAGGACGATCTCCACGAGCGCGCCGAGCGGGATGCGTTCCGTGAGCGCGCAGCTGCAGTACGAGCCGAGGCAGTGCTTATGGGCGTCGGCGAACGTGCACATGGACTCGCTGGGGGACTTCTGGTAGCGCTGCAGGATCATCGGCACGGCCGGGTACTCGAACGTCACCCGGTTATTCTGTGGGTACGGACCCGGGGCGGGGAGTTCGTCTGGAACAAGGAGACGGAGTCAATCTTCGCCTCGATGTGCGGAGAGCATTCGACCTGACCTGACGTACCGTACAGGTGGAAGGACAGCTCGAGGTACAGGGTGTGGTCCGGGCTCCGCGCGATGTCACCGTGCGTGGAGTTGTCGATGTTCTCCAAGTCCGTGACGCGGACCAACGGGTTATCGGAGTAGTCCGCCACCACGACTTGCATGGGGTTTAGCAGCTGTGTGACAGGGGAGCTCAGCACTAGCACCAGCACCATTCAGGGTGGCCCGTCATTTCTTCGTCAGTTCGTCAGTTCTTTCGGTTTATACTGTACCAGATGCAGGCGTGCGGGCGGGATTGCCTATCTTCGCTCACCGAGGTGCCTTTCGGCACGAGTATGCAACCCCCGTCCTCACGCCTGCATCTGGTACAGTATAAGCAGAAGACAGAACGGCGCTGACGGGCAGGCCACCCTGTAGACAGGGCCACCATGGGCCACAAAGGCTAACAAGGGAACCTTTTCAGGTGTAAATCTCCGATTTCGTTGGTACTCCGAAAATTTAAAGGTTATCATAATAGAAGTCGGATGGCACTTGAAATTTTTCCTAAACTTAACATTTACCAGGGGTTTACTTAAGCCTGACACTGTTTTTTGCTCCAAATATCCCTCTACCGCTTTAACGGTTCAAAGTAGAGCAAAACGGACAAAATTTTGGCCCAAAGGGCGCTACTTTGACGAGTTACCCCTTAGAACACCGCTCTACATTTTTCAAAAAATATTTTTTTCTAACACCTCACTCCTACCTTTTATAGGGGAAAACTGAATGTCAGGTTTAGGAAAAGTTTCAAGTGCCATCCGATTTCTACATAAATAACCTTCAAATTTTCCAAGTTTCAACGAAATCGGAGATTTACACCTGAAAAGGTTCCCTTGTAAGCCGAGGCCTGAGCATTACCTGACCCTGACGCGCGCTCGTGTGGTACTCCGGCCTGGCCGCGGAGGGGAGCGCGACGTTGCTGCCCTCGTACGTGAGCACGGCTTGCTGGAAGACGCGCGCCTTGGTCTCGCCGCAGTCCCCGAGCGCGCGCATGCGGATCCAGTACTTGTCGACGGGCTGGTCCGCGCGAAGCACCACGTCCCAGCGCTCGCCCGCGTTAAGCATCACGCTCTCCACTGCAACGCAAGAAGATCGTTAGCGCCGACTGCGCGGCCATACCAAAGAGGGTGGGGACAGAGGAGGGTCACCTTCCACCGGCTTGAAGTTTGCTCCGTCGGATGCGACGGCGAGCAGCTTGTGGCCATCGATGGAGACCTGCACCGGGCAGTACACGACGCTATTGTACAGGAACCGGAGCCGATAACGCTTGCCCTGCAGGAAAATAAAGGGGGGGGGGGAGATGAGCGTGAGGATGACATTGGGACTGCTGTGGTCGAGTCAGTCTGGCGGAGCCTGGGGCCTCGTACCGGCTGCACGCGGATCTCCTCGCAGGGGGCGTCTCTGCCCGCGATGGACGCCATGACCCCCTTGCCGTTGACGAGGATGCCGGCCCCGGACACGCTCTGGTTGCGGAACAGCCTCATCGGCAGGTAGTCGTAGGCGAGGAACGGGTACCAGTGCCACAGGGCGAGCGTGTGCTCGGGGAGGTCCTCGTCGTAGAGCGCGGCGTGCGGCTCGGCGGGCCGGCGCACCACCAGCGGCCCGAACAGCCCGTCCGCCTCCAGGAGCCCGACGTGCGCGTGCCACATGTGCGTCCCGGCCGGGTACGCGGTGAACGAGTACTCGAACACGTTGTTGGGCTGGATGGGGCACTGCGAGACGTACGGCACGCCGTCCATGTGCGGCGAGCCCCGCATCCACACGCCGTGCCAGTGCAGCGTCACGCCCTCGTTGGCGAAGTCGTTGAGCACCCGCACCTTGAGCCGGTCGCCCTCGCAGACCTGTGGGTGGATGCAGAGGAAGGTCAGAAAGTCACGGAGAAAGTCGACGGTTCGGGTTTGTTTCATCTCTCAGAAAAGTACAATCCGGAGGCACCTCACTCACATTAGCTGAAGACCCTAAATCATGACTGTAACTTAAGCGAGTAAAATACGCTCGTGGATATTCTCGGGATCTTCGCCAACCTGCTCTCCTGAGAGCAAAATACTGAAGTAATCATAGTAAAGGGATTTGAAGGTACGAATACTATAGTTCTAATTTCCGCAATGAACGACAATTTAAATAATAAGCTGAATAATTTAATTGCAAAAATCTGCTCCCCTCCAGGACGGATCCGGCCGGACCGAAAACCTTGGACCAAAACGTGCCTCGTGGTTAGTCAAGTCAGGTCAAGAGAACACACGATGAACGACACCCTTACCCCTGTCCCCCTCTCCGGGACCGGCATGCGCGCCTGCCCGTCATCCGCCCGGTGCGCCCAGGCCTCGCATCACGCGCGCACTCCAGGATCTGGAGGACGTAGCCCCCGGGAGGTAGTCACCCGCTGCGCACAGCTGTGTGACGCTCGGGGATGTTGCCTACGCTGCAGGCGCGCTGTGTGGTCCGTAGCCCTCGGCTCCCGCGACGCACAGGTGTGCGACGTCCGGGTATGTTGCCCGCGCAGCAGACGTACGGGGCGGACGGTCCGTAAACCCTGGTATGTGCTCAACGGGTAGAGCGTGAGAGGGTACGTTCGAAAACAAGGTGTGTGCTATGGTGTGTTTGCTACAAACTATGGTTTCATTTTGAGACGTAAACGGAGAGGATGCTAGAGTGCGTCCTGGCCGGTCGCAGTAAGAATAGTACATTTAGTTTTTTGAACACCGCAAAACTATACACAAATGTAAATATT